TACATGCTCTAAATCCACAACTACTATGATATGGTACTGTTTGGAGAGGTAGATTGTGTAATTCTACTCTATCAATTTAACGGACTGTAATTGGGATTCTAAATCTTATATTGAATGCATAAGTTGGTTATATACATGTTAAACTATATTTATGCTAATTCTGGAGTATGGTTGATAAATACTTATTTTTGTTTTTGTCAACTTCGTTAATTGGAGGATTGTATGTACCGATATGGGACGGTGACATACTAGGTATGGATTAGTCAAACACTAAATCCTACCTACTTTGGATTAAGGTATAGATTAACCCTGTGAGTTAAGTCCATCACCTACTTGTGTCATGTCAACAAAATACTTGAATGACTTAATATGGTTTCAGGACGGATGGATATACATATACCAGACCACCACACAGATGGATGGTATTATGTATTAGGAGGAGTATGGACTTTATATATTTATTATATGTGCTATGGTATGAGCTTGAGTCTCAGGACCATGGTTAGGGCGTGTATATCGCCTAGGATGGATAACTGGACATAGGTGTTGTTCCCTGGTAGGTCTAGGTACTCATGCCCACCCTAGGGTGCGTATTCGCATATTGCCTTCTATTCAGGCTGAGACAAACCTACTGGACTAGCGAGCGTCCTATAGTGTGTACTATATACATATATTGACTACTCTAGATATTGTTGAGTCTTCCTAGGATGTATCTGCGTATCGGATTACTGTTTGGATTGTAGTAGATCAGGACTTGCATGTGGGCCTGACCCACTTCTTTATTTTTCAGGTGCTCGTCAGTTCCAGGGTTAGAGTTTGGACGTGCAGAGCAGATACAGCTATTCACTCCTCCGATTATGTAGGAATTTTCTCTATGTTAGCTTTGGATTTTGTTTTTATTATTTCAGTATCGTTTGGAGAATTTAAATAAGGGGTCCAATGGATGGATTCCCGAGTTGTAAACTGATGGAGTTTTGGAGTTTGGGTTTGATGGATTTTAATAATTATAATATTTTGCGGATTCTGTTTTTAGTTCTTTTCAGCTTTAATTTCATTTCTTAATTCATTTTGTATTCCGTGTTCATTATAAATACTTTAATTGTTTGATATTCCCTCGGGCTCGGGCCTGGGCCTGATCAACCCGTGTCTCAGATCCGAGGGGTATCACATAAAACAACTTCTAATGGTCCCAAATTAATATATACTAGTAAACAAGTCATGGCCAATACAAATATCAAGTTAAAACCTTAATTAAGCTAATGGGACCACAAAATAGATTTTAATTAATTCTTTTAATTAAAATCTCTAGATTTTTAAACTTAACCAAATGCTCTCAATTTAACATATCTTAGAGAACATGCCAACGACTAATGTAATATCACATTACAAGTTTATTTCATTCAATTTAAGACCATGCGACTTAACCTTTTACTAAAGTTAAATATAAATTAAAAGTTGCAATTCTCATCCAATTAATCCCAATTTAATATATGTGAACAACTACACCTAAGCTTAATTTTCTAGCATGCCACAATACAATCCCAAGTTATATGTCACCATGAGGATTAAATCTTAAACATGGAATTTAATTAAATAAAAGGTTTCGAAACCTAACCGAATATTCTAAATCAAATATATGTGAAACTATATGGCATGTAAATCAAGAATATCAAGTCGGAATTTAAATAGAGTGAATAGTGCACTCGGGGCAAATTAATTAATAATTACTAATTTTCAAAACACCTCCAATCACTTTCAAATTCAACTATGTTGGAGAGCATGCTAAGGCCTAATTTAGTATGCTAACACATATTGATTTTAAGCTAGTTAAGGCCATGTGAATTAATCTTTCACCTAAGATAAATATTAAATAAAATCTCTAATACTTATTCAAATGTTTCAATTTTAATACACGTAATGAGCATATCAAGGGGCAATATAAAATCATGCTACATGTTTTAACCAAGTCATGAGCAACCGGGAAAATTAGATCCCGTACAAGAAAAATAAATAATAAAATCTTTAGATTTTATATTTAATCATGCAAACAAGTAGTATAAGCATCACAAGCATGCTATATAACAAGAATTTAAACTTAGAACATCTCCTACCTCAATTTGAGATGAAAATCCCAAAGGCCCACCAAAATAAAAGTGCTCCGAATTTGACGATACCGAGAGGTTTTGTCGGGGACAACACCGTGAACATAACTCCCATCAAAGCCCCGTCAAAATCATAACTTAAACTCAAAACCAAACTCAAGAAATGGTCAAAACTGAATTCTAATAAGGGGGAAAGGTAGAGCACGGCGAGGGGAACAACAAACGTTAAGGCCAAAGACTTTCCATCAAGGAAAAGTGAACCAAAAGAGGAGAGAGAAGATGGCAGCACCCCTTGGGGCTGCCATGGGAGCTCCAGGTCGTGCATGAAGAGGGGAGAAGATGAAAAATGAAATATCTCACCCCCCTTTTATAGAAATCTCAAAAAGTGCCCTGAACGGGCCCCGCCGGGTCTGAAAAAGTAAAATTTGAGTAGACGCGCTCAAATGGCAAAACTTTGTGAACGAAAAAGATTCAAAACGATAAAATATGAACAATGGAAGAAATGGCGTCAAAAACTGAGTCCCGAGCAGAAAGTTATGCCCAAAACAAGTTTGGCAAAAACTAGGGCCAGAAACCCTGAAACTGGAAAACATCGACCTGGAGGAAATTCCAAGAGTACACAACTCGACGAAATGTGAAAATGAATCCCGTACGAGGATCCAGGCTCAAAACAAGACATTTTGTAATAACTTTCATTAATTGCACAATGGCCCCTCCAAAAAGTGAAAACTGCACTTATGGCCCAGAATAAAAATATCTTCCTAAAATATTTTCTTAAAAACCCCTGAAATAAAATATCTTCAAAAGATATTTATGAAAAACACCCCAAGAAAAGAAAATAATTTCAAAGAACTTTGCATCCATGCCCCTATGGACACCGGGAGCAACCAGAGTACTTTCTTGCAAAAGTAAAGATACGTATTTCGAGGAAACCACTCAAGATGAAGGCACGTGAAGTCAAAAACCAACTCTGAGCGTGAGAAGTGAGGTTGTGCCAACAATGTGACATATGGGGAAAAGACAGAATAGGGAAAAAGATGAAACAGGGAAAAGGACGAAAGGCGCATCGTGTCCGAAAAGTGAAAATGCAGAAATGACTCGGTCCTCAAGGGAAGTTGTCAATTCACATGAAAGAGTCTCAGAAACCAATTCTGAGCACTCGAGATGACACTAAGCGACACGAAACAGAGCTCAGAAAAGAAAATTAAACGAAAAAAATTCATTCGTAAAATTTCAAGAAAAAGGAAAGGGAGGCAAATGACTGGGTCATTACAATTATCTCATCACATACATGCATAAATCTCATCATAGCCATATCCAATAATGGCACAAGACCCACAAACAGTTATAGATCGAATCTAGGATTATATATATGCAATAAAAGAATGATTAAAATCATAATACTATTTACTCATATTTAATAATGGTAAAATAGATAATTACAGCTATGAATCATGCTTGTAAATCATAATTATATCAACAACAATGATTATAATTATAAATCGAACAATTACATTTAATTATACAAATTAAATATCATGAAAAATTAAATTATACTTATTAGTTAATTTAAACATTTCCATCCAACATCAAACCATGAGAGTCTGATATAATTTATATATTTTAGACCTATGTCACTGTTCCCAATACTTATAAACATGTTCGGGATCTTTTATACTCAAACTGGGGTCATTCTGAACACTTTTGAAGAAAATAGGTTCGTGAAGCTCGAGAACAAGCTCCCTATGCTCGAGCACAAACCTTAATACTCGAGCACTGGGGGTCGGCGGTGTTATACTCGAGCACAACCTTTTGTGCTAGAGAATAAAGTCGCGGCAATAGATCGGAGGTCCATTTTAGGTCTATAACTCCGTCGTTCGGGTCCTAAAACATGATTTCTAAGTCCCATATGATCACCAATGATATAAACAACGAAAATACATAAGATCAAACAATTTAAAACAAGTTTTATGCATTAAATCAAAGAACCCATCAAGTTGAAGAACGAACACATATAAACACGAAAGCAATTCATATATAATAATTAATTGTCTGATTAATTCTCTGATTTAAGCCCTAAAATCTAGCATGTGATGGAGAGATTATAGATTCAAAGGGGATGAGATAGATAAAAAACTTGCCTTATGATTTTTGGATTGAAAATCAGCTTCTAAGTTCTTTATAGGTTCTCTTGTCTTCTTCTCCAAATTCTGGCAACCTTCAAGCTAAGTCTGACCAATACTCCTTGCCCCGGTCACCTTCTTCTTCCTTTTCTAATCAACCTTCCATTTCTACCTTTGTGGTACAACCCTTTTTCTCTTCTTTCTAACCTCATGTATCCAACCCCTAATTCTAATTTAATTAGGAAGACAAATAATAATGATATATATATTAAATAACATATATAAAAAAATATGTATATTAATATATATAACCACATAAATATTATAGACATATAAATACACATTTGGGCCTACAGTTTTCCACCCAACTAGGCCTTTAAATTAATTAAAGGCTTCTCCTTCAAAGCCCCAAACTCATAGTCCTTTTACTAAGCCCAACTAAATAAAAACTAAAATAAACTACAATAACACACACTACAATTAAATTAACAAGTAATAACGAACAATACAATCAACCAAATATCAACTAATAAATAATCAATTAATTTAATTACAAATGATTAAATAACAACAAAATCATCAAATCACAAAAACAATAAAAATAATTAAATTAAATAAACGAGCACAACCAAACTATTAATTCAAATAAAATAATTTAATTAAATAAAATAAATGCTTCAAAAATTAGGGATATTACATTCTTCCCCCTATAATAAAGGAGAATTGTTGAAATAAGGTATGTAGTGAATTCCGAGGATAGAATTCACTACGTACCTTATTTCAACAATTTCGGAAACTTCGAATGGATTTCATCTTCCCGTTCCCAAGTGGACTCGGCCTCATTATGATGGATCCACTGAACACGCACAAGAGGAATAATCTTGATGCAAAGCACCTGATTCCTACGATCAAGAATACGATAAGGTGGCTCTACATGTGTCGCATCCGGTTGCAACTCTATCTCACCAACGTCTATATGCTGATAACGATCCTTATCACACAGAAATTTCCACAATATGGATACAGGGAAAACATTATGGGTATGATATAAATGGTCCAAAAGTGCCAAACTATAAGTTACAGCTCCTACAAGATCCGTAATCATAAATGGACCTACTAAACATGGTGACAACTTCCATTTTTTCCCAAAGCGCATTACTCCCTTTATGGGAGACACTTTGAGCAAAACCTGATCCCCAATCTGAAACTCTAGTGAACGAGTATGACGGTCTCAATAACTCTTCTGCTTACTCTGGGTAATGCGTATGTGATCTCAAATAAGTTCAATCTTCAAAGGTATCCTTAATGAATTTAGGGTCCAAAAATCTGCCCTCACCAACCTCTAAACAACAAACAGGAGATCTATATGTTCAGCTATACAATGCCTCAAAAGGTGTCATACTAATAGTTTTTTGGTAACTATTGTTATAAGCAAACTCTGCAAGTGACAAGTAATCCTCCCAATGACACAAGCTCTAATAAAATCCTCCATAATCTGGTTGACTCTCTCAGTCTGTCCATCTATCTCGGAATGATAAGCAGTGCTAAGATGCAACTCTGTACCCAAATCTTGCTAGAAGCTTCCCCAAAATCCTGAGATGAAACTCGAATCTCTATCCGATATGATGGACAACAGTATACCATGTAGCTTCACAATCTTTGCAATATAATGCTTCAACAACTGTTCTGAAGTGAAATCAGTGTGAATAGGCAATAAATGAGTGGAGTTTGTTCATCTATCAACGATCACCCAAATGGAATTGTGATTCTTATTTCAATTAGGTAGTCCCTTAACAAATTCCATGGAAATACTCTCATTTCCACTCCGATATAGGTAGTGGCTGCAAAGCGCTTGATGGTCTTTGATGATCAGTCTTAACCATTTGGCAAGTACTACATTTAGAGACAAAGATAGCTATGTCCCTCTTTATGTCTACTAATATGTGTTCTTTGCATTCAATTCAAGATTTTTAGCACAACTTGTGTACTTGAGGGATTTTTCATGATTAGTCCATGACTAGCTATGATTTTGATCTTTTGAGGACTATATTGCTTAGAATTTAAAAATTGCTTGACTTGAGAGTCCAATACTCCTTGTATGCCTTGTGGATGCCATTTAGGAGTAGATTTTTCAAAAGATTGATATCTTGCTTGCATTTGTGGTCCATATTATCCTGATTTTGTGAATGTTTTGAGATTCACTCTAGGATTCTACACTAGCACAGGTGCACACTAGCATTCATTTGTGGGGTATGTGCTTTGTTGATTATTGATTTGGTTATATCCCAATTGAGCTAGTAGTACATTGAAGGTTTTCATTCTTGATAAAGGTGGATAACAAACCCTTTTCACTAAGTAGCCGGGATTCTAGCCTCATCAAGCACTGAATTTCTCGTGCCAAAAGATGGAGGGCCCAAACTCTAGGTTAATAACTTTCTACAAAAAAAAAAAAAAAAAAAAAAAATCCAAAATACAAAAATTTGTTTCATCATTGTGCACTTTTGTGTAATCATACATACCTTATGATTTCTATTGGGCTTGATCTCATATCTTTCTTTCATATTGTGCTAGATTGTCTTAGAATGCTTGATGTGGTTATCTTTATCTGATTTGATATTTGATGTACGTTTGCTAGTGTGGTTATTCAAGTAGGTTGTTGATCCCAAGTTTGGGGGTGCACTCTTTCCCAATGGATCACTACCGGGCTTCATGTCTTTGCCACCACGATATACTCTTTCCATCTTTTCCATTGTTCTCGTTGCACATTGAGGACAATGTGTGATTTAAGTTTGGGGGTAAGGTGACTTTGTTGCATTCTACCTAAATTTGAGACTTAATTGCATGATTGATATTTGGGATCCATTTGAGCTATGATTTCAAAACTTGGCGTGGTTAATACCAGCTGCTCAAAAGTGTGAAAAAATGTGGTCAAGTTTGAATTTATAGAATGTCACTACCACTACTAACTATTAATGTAGCTAGAGTAAATAGGGATCATCCCAAGGGAAATTAATGATGGATTAGTAGGTCGAATGATCAAAAGATAGTTTGTTGGTTGAATTAGACTACAATTTAAACTAAATAAATGCAATGTAGAACAACTAAAACAATATGAGGTGTAGAGAATATGAGAGAGGAGTCTTGAGTCATAGAGTTTACCACTAAGCATAACCTTCCTAGACATTCAATATTTGATGGATTAGGGGGATTGTGTGTTGTAAATGAAAGTGTGTGCCATTAATTGAAATATCAAGCATGGATGGCCAAGTAAACATACATTATTTAGTCAATCTAGTGAGTAGCATAACATATTAAATTAAGCCATTAATCCTTCTATGAGTCCATAATTAATGCACACTCATTAAATTAGAGAAATATATAATTCTTGCATTCATAAGCATGGAACATTAAACAACAAGAATGGATTGTTCACCTATTTAAACTAATTAAACTAAGGAGGTGGCACAATCCATCAAGAAATAAGTATGAACCATCAAATAAACTACAAGAGTAATCTATTTAAGCACCATGCCTTGACCATCACTAGATTCATAATATCAACACATATAGACATGCATCAATGTCACAAAATCTAGAAATAAACACATGAACATTCATTCTAGCATACATAGACATATGGATAGAACTAAATGATCAATTGGAAGTATTAAACTACACAAATCATTGTAGAAACAAGATTTATATATATAAGATGTTAAGATAAGAATTACAACACAAATCCCCATTAATTACAAAACATCAAAGTCTAGGAGCTATGCTTAGGGCGATCTCTAGCCCCAAGATAATGGTTTAGCCACTCATTAATGTCGTTATCTAACCCTCAAGGGCTATCTCCATGGTAGAAATCATCCTCTTCTTCTTGTGTTCTTGGTAGAAACTCTAGATGAGTGGGAGAACTTTCCCAAATTGTGTGTGTCTCTCTCTAATCTCTAACCAAATCTCTAGCCTCTCAAGAATTCTTTACTAAAAATAGCCCAAAATCCTTATATAGGTAGCTCAAATGTCACACCCAATGGTCAAACCTATGCACTAGGACCTCCAAATGATTGTACCATGAGAACACCTTTAATTTGGCTGGAACTCTATTTTTTACGCAACTTGAGGCAGTTTGATCGATCACAAGGTTGCTCGGATTGATCGAACCATGGCGGCGCACTTTTTGGATAAGGACAAGGCTAAGATATTTTTGGGAAAATGACAAAAGTGGTAGATGTGGAAAATATCAAAAGGGTTTTATCGATCAAAAGAAAGGTTGGATCGATCAAAAGGGGAAATTTTCCCGAATATAAGGACATAAGGCTTGATCCATCATGGCATGGTTGGAACGATCACAGTGTGATCAATTGTAGCTTGGTTCGATTGATCGTAAAAAGCTTCTTCAGCACTTTGCTTCCACTTTGCTCCTTTTTTTCACTAGGCTTGAGATTGCTTCTTTTAATGCTCTAATTCAGCTGAATTGACTTATTTTGGGGATAAGTGCCTGAAAAGGGAAATAACATGAAATTAGACTAAAACAAAAAAATAAGATAGAATAAGGTCCTAGAACATTCAAGCATAAGGGGTTTAAATGTGCACTTTTTAGCGCTTATCATCTACCCACCAAAAATGTCACTTCATGTGTTGATATATCTTATCTCCACCTGAATGAATAGAAAACTCAGAATTGTGAACCTCAGTTGTCACACCCTTCCTCAAATCATAAGTAGAAGGTACTACTAGATGTCCTTTGCACCTCAACCCTTTATTTGTCCTAACAGTATAAAATGGAATGTAACGACCCTGGATTTTTCAACCCAGTGTGTCCTGTGATGAACTAAAAAATGATCCGATAACGGATCTGAAATGCGGAAGCAAAAGAAGCAAGATGGCATCAAGAGATGTACGTCATCCTTAAGGCACCAGGATAACTCCCTATGAATCCACAAAACTCAAATGAGCCAACAAATGAAGTAAGAATGCCAAACCTGATAAGAAAGAACCAAGGGCAAAATGGTCATTTCACACTAAAATGGGTGCCACCGTGCACACCATTGGAAAGACAACGAAAAATGAACGAAGTTAGACTCAAGAATCGCTTGATTCTGAGTCCGGACAGAAAAGATATGAAAATAAAATGAAGTGGTCTTCTCCGTTTAAGAGTTACCAACTCACTAAAACTGGAATAACTCACACTATAGATGGAGTTTTGATGAGTAATTGGTATCGTTGGAAAGCTAACTTCAAGCTCTTGAATTTAGACTCAAGAACCACCTAGTATAGATTAGAAATGAAAGAGATATGATCTCCCAAAGTTGAAACAACAAAGCTGTTCAAGGAAAAGATGAAGAAAATGGTTCCAGGGAGGGTCGGTCGACCGAAATGCAACCATCAGCCGGCTGAAACTCAACCGTCGGTAGGCCGAACCCCAATCATCAGCTGGCCGAAATGAGGTTTTTTCTAAAAAGCCTACTGAAATGGTCTTGAGAGTTTGGTAAGCTGGCTGATGGATCCTCATCAGCCGACCGACACATTTGCTGCAGTAGAAAAAGCTACTGCAATGTGTGTGTGAGGTGCTTGGACCATCTCTAAGGCTCTACATGCATTCTACATGATCCGAATAAGTTTCAAAACATTCCCTAGCCTCATACAAGCGTCCAAGCCATTCCAAAACAAAGAGGAACTTAAAATGATACTCCAATGCATGAATTTTTCATAAAAATTCATAAAAATTGCCTAAAAATAGTTCCAAAGTTGAAACTTAAGAGTTTTGTGAATTGTGGACATGCATGCAAATGTAAAAAGACATTTAAGATGCATCCCAATGGTTCGCGGCTTCAAAATGTCCTAAATGCAAAATATGACCTCTCAACGGCCAAAAATGCCAAAAAATGCGATACATGAAACCAAAATGTGAAACCTGGAACAAAATGGTGTTTGGCCCTTGGCCACACCTTATTCATGATCATGGAGACCCTATGGAAGAAAAAGAATGGAATTCCCACACCCGATGCAAACATAGTGAAGCAAAGACTTAACATTTTTCAATATTTTCATAATGAACCTTGAAAACGAAAGTGCATAGAATACATATTTGATGCCATTGGCCTATTGCCTCAACTCATACATGTCAAATACATTGAAAAGAGTGTACTTATG